CCCATTCGGCCACTCCGCCCCCTTTTCTCTATCGTTTACTACTCAAATTATTGGGGGAAAAAATCTAGACAAGAATCATGACCACATTGGTGGGGACTAAGAAATATATTTTATGAAATTTCTCCCTCTGACATAAATAACAAAATACAGATATATTTCAGCACTTAAACCAAACCAAGTACCGTAATTTTATAGTGTAAAGATATTTATATATTCAGACAGGAGTAAATATATTTTTTATCTTTTTATTTATTTATTTTGTGATACATTACGCCTCAGTCGGTGTAACGACACTTCCCAATATTTCCTAGACAATTTTCACATAGACCTTGACCGACACTTTCCAAGCTCGTTCTGTGAGATTACTCAACTTCGGTTAACAAACGGAATCCTTGAATCTTAGAGGTTTAGCCTTCTTGATATGGAAAAGTAGGCAAAAATGTTTTCGACAGAGCCTATTATTACAGACTTCCAACTTCCATTATCCATTATTTCCTTTTCTAACTATCGGTTAGGACACCTGTAATTACCAGTTTGATCAAGTTCAAGATCAATAAGGTAAAATAGAAATTTATTTAAATGTCCAAACATTTAATAAAATTAGGGAAGTATTTTCTTACTATAGTTTCAAAAAGCAATAACCTTCTATGAGATGAAGTTTGATACTTAAATACTTGAATTGGATTTTTTTTTTAAATACAAATCTAACTGGTAGGTAAAATTTGACGACAAATTTCTAGTGTGTTTCATTCAATATTTACTCATTTTTTTTATACATATACATATTATTGTGAGTGGTCTTCGTTTCTCCTACCTTGGTACATTAAACGTAAGAAGTATTAAGTATCCCACTTGAAAACGTTTTTAAAGTCGTTATCCCAACATTCGGAATTTAATGTCACCCAGTTTATTAGGTGATATGTAAAAACATATTAAGAAAGGATAAATACAAAAGTCTTGAGCTTGTAGGATTATTATCACATAATTTATTTGAATAAAATGGAAAAGTTTTATACGTTTGTTTGTTTCAATGTCTAGGCGCAAAACATTTAAGTCATCAGTGCCCGATCAACTAAAACTACTTTTATATTGTATAGGTGGTTGGTACAAAAAATAAAAATAAATAAATAAAAAGAAGAATTAATAGAATAAAATAAATAAATAAAGATAAAAATAAGCACTTAAAGATAAACTAGATAAATAAATAATTTAAAAAAAAAAATCAGCAACGGATCTTGCTTATAAATTTGTTTTTTTTTATATTAGCATCAGAAATTATCAATTCCATTAATTCATCTTGAACGTCCCTTAATTTGTTATTCTTTTCAATTAATTGTTATAAATACATTTTAGTATGTTCAATATTTACCAGCTCCGAATTAAGTTCTTGCCCCAACATATAAGCTAATTTTGTGAAAGCAATTCGAATAAGCTTCCTTTTCTTCTTTAATTGATCCATAATTATTAACTATAGAAAAGCAGCACAAATAATTAATAATTTAATCAAAAACAACTAAAGCCCAGTCAAGTTTTGTTACTCTCACGCACAAAAATAAAAGAACAAAGCAAATATACAACACTGATATTCTTTTATTAACAATATTATTTTTGATACGCACAAAGTACAATTCAGCTGTTTGCAATAGCAAAACTTTTTGTTTAATTATATCATATGTTTTTATTAGAACACATGTGTTCAATATAGCATCACTCTGCAGCCTCCTTGATCATTTCTTCTGTTTCCAACAAGATCATTAGTTACTGATTTGTAGTACATGTTTCATAACACTTTCATTGTGCCTTCATAACTTTAGTAATGATTTCTTCCGGGTTTCCCAGGGATGCTGATATATTCCGGGGTATTCTAGCCAAGATCTTCTAGCCTTGCGGTGAAAAAAGAGTACTCTTTCAAAAGAGTTGTTGTTTAAGAAACTTGTAATGTTTTACTAACGTCAAAATTGTTCTGTGAATCCTTAGTAATTGTAACGCGAATCCTGTTGTAATAGAATTGAATTTAAACCACCAAATATTTCAAATAATTAAGTGCATTTTAAGCAGGATTAAATAAAGTATCAAATTTTATTGTATTTATTAATACAATTAATAATAATTATTTTCTTGTTATTTATAAAGGGAAACTTACACGTACAATGCAATTGAATTTCATCAATGTATTGACTATGTAAGGACTACACTGTATCAATTAAGTTGGCGTCAATAAAACTGGTTGATATCAATTTTTTTATTGAACCTCTTTCAATATTAGACTGTCAATATAACTGCACGTGCCAGCGCTTTATTGAGCGATATTAAATCATTTAAACAGGTCTATATCTTGAGGGGCCATGGGCATTGCAAAAAATTCACTGACCTTAAGTTAATCATATTATCAAGAACAAAATCAATATGCCAAACTTATACCAAATCCAAAGCCAAACAATTATATTAAATTACCACACAGTTACTTATGAAGGTTAAAAAAGTTAGCGAATATGCCGCACGTGTAATATTCTTCTGTGATTTTCTTTTAGACAAAAATACAAGCGCATGTGTAAGCCTATTAAAAAGGTGCCCACTATAAATAAACCAAAAAACGTATGGCGTTCATTTTTTAATAAAAAGATGTTTATCTCAGTTAATATTTTGGACATTACCTAATTTTGAAACATTTTTTTCTTATGTGAATGAGCTCAAGCCAACCAGGATAAGCGAAGGTCGATAGACATGAAAGGGAAAAAAAAAATCACGAGTTCAAAGAATAAAAATGGCACCTCAAGGTAAAACTATATATGAAAAAAATAAGTCGAACGCGTGAATACTTTGTAGAAAAACAAGGAAAATATATGGCGACTTCTTCAAAATATAAGTTCACAATATCTGAACTTTGTCCAATTATAACCTGAAAACAAGCTATCATTGCGAGAGAATGTTGGTAACAAAATTTTAACAAGGTTAAAAACGTGACCGGTAGTATTAAAGGTGGATGACCCCTGTAGTAGCATCACACACCTTGAACATGACCTCACTACAAAATAGATGGATTCGAAACATTTAGAGGACGACATTTGTTATTATAATATATAAGTACCTTATATTACCTGGTATTTATAATTAATAGGAAACATATTATTTACAGATACGTTTAATTGATCTGTAATTTACTTTTAGAATATTAGTAATAACTAGAGACCGGATTTTCATGTTATTGGACATTTTTTTCGCTTAGGTGTAAAAACTTCAAACCCAACAATATATCCGTTTCACGATCTGTAGAATAACATATTAAAATTTCATTTTGCACGAAATTGCACTTTTTTTGGTTTTTGTTGCATGATACTGCATACTTTATAACTTAAGGGCAAAATTTCAATTATAATAGTATAAACTTTAATTTACCTTAAAATTTACTATTATTGTATATTATATTAGGTTTGTAGTTGAGAACAGCGGTGTCCAATCCATGGAGGGCATAAATAGTTTATTGACTTTTTTTCTCAATTTTTCCATTCAAAATAACATTTCAAGTTATCTTTCTGAGATCAAAAGATATTTTAGACTAGTTTTGTTTGATATAAATAAAAAAAATACAGTCCATGTACACACATTTTATTTAATAAATAATTTTATAATTGGAAGTAACATATTTAATAATGTAATTTAATGCAAGTGAAAATAATCACTTACAAAGCCCCTTATCCTTCTTCTGTTATTCGCGGTTCCAAAACGTGTACATTTATTTTTCAGTTTTCAAGTATGAAAGTATTTATTGCCGCTTTGTTGAATGTTCTACGACAAAACTCCGCAGGGTTACACCAAGGACTATGGATTTTAAGAAAAGTTAAGGAGCTTAACTCAAAATCTACAATTATAAAGATTTAAATTGATCAAAAGCTGTAAAATCAAGCCTCATTTCAAAAATGTACTGTTTACATAGAGAATTAGGTTAATCTTCGTTCATTTTAAATTAAAATTCGATTTTACTTCACGAAAATCCGGTCTCTAGTAATAACACTTGAAGGAAATCTGAAAGTCTGAGATTAAACAAACAGTACTTTGATCATTCATAGAGTTCTTATTCAATAAACAATTCCAAAATATATAATAAATAGCTTATAAAAAAAAATTCCATTTAGCAATTTATAAATTAATAATAAATCGATCCAAAAATAATGTATAATAAATAATTACTTCAGTCAGGGGAGAAAATAGATAAAAGACTATTTGATGTATTTATAAAACAATAATACTTGACAAATTCCGAAAATCGATACGGATAAGTATTATTTGCTCATTTACTTCCCACCACTCAAACCCATGAAAAGGTCTGCTTAAAAGCCGTAAAAGATGTAAGTAGGAGGATTTCATTGAAATGAAATCCTCCTACTTACGTCTCGGTTAGCCATTTGAATGTTTACAAGTCGATTTAGTGCTTATTGTTGTTTTGAATTACAATAATAAATAAAAGTTAAACTTTTACTAAAAACCTGGACCTTATCACAAAAAAAATTTCCATATAACTTTTATTTTAAGATTTTTTTTTCCTATACGGTTTCACAAAAACTGCTAAAATAGAACTTTTTAAAAAAAAAATCCATACAAGTTCAATCCTTGCTGTTTAAATGTGTCTGTTTCGCGATGACGTTTATAGTTCTTAAGCCCAGAGGGGCAGATACTGATCTTTTTGGAGTACCAAAGAATTTAATTACTACTTCAGTTGGTGTTAAACGATTAACTAAAGTAGTGATTGAATTCCCAATTTAATTTGAGTAAAATATTTGGTACCCGGTACTCTAAGTAGCATTTACCCATCTCTGCAGAGGGTATTTAATAGGTATGTTATTAATAACGATTGCTTCGCTTATTAATCATTTTACAAAATTTCTAAAAATGTTGTATTATTGATGTATTTTATGAATTATGATAACTCGCCTGAAAATACAGACATTAATAATACTATTATAAACATGAATAATACTAAAATTTGTTCCCGAATAGTATTATCAGATAGATACCCACGCAAGATACGAATGGGCGCGTGATCTCCGTAGAGAGGCTGTTGAGCCCGGAGAACGGTGGGGATCCCGCGGGTCAAAAACACAGTGGACTCGTAGGATCAGGGAACCGTAAGGAGAGAGGGGTGGGGATTTGGGGCCCGCTGTGGGGCAGTACCTTCCAGGTACTGTGTTCAATTGTAGTCCAATGCAATTCTAACTACTCCTACATCAGTTTTTGATTAAAATGAGGTAATCCAGGTCACTAGCGGATCCAGAACTTATTACTTTCACTTACGTATATATGTAATATATAGTAAGGGTAAGTATTGCTATAGACTGTAGCACCTAAACGAATGTACCGATTTCAATGAAACTTCGCTAAAGTCATTTTCTCGACACCCTTTAAATTTATCTATATAATATATTCCAACGAAAAGAAGCTAGAAAAAAAGTTCAAGGGATGATAAAATTAAATTCTGAATAACTCAAAATGTATACACATTTTTGTTAGTATTGTGATAAGATATTTCAAAGGTTTTTAAATTTCCTAAAAAATGAAAGAAGTTTCATTGAAATCGGACAATTAAGAGGAAAAGTATAGTCTCTAGTTTTTTCCCTGAAGAGGGGAAAATTTGGATAAATTTAAAATATACTTTTTTAATTGTTGAGACTAAAAAAACCTTTTTTCTACAGATATTTAATAAAGCATCTTTCCTAAGAACATCTTTCATAAGAAATAAGTACCTAAATTTATACCTTTATTCTCAGTTCTATATTTCAACATTGCAATCACCACCTCCGGAATAACCTTATTCACTGTCTGCATAGATAACTTTTTCAACTAAAAATATCACTAAAATGACATTACTCAAAAATGTTGAAATTGGAGTTAGTCATTCTGTGGTTTATAAAAGCAGATTGAGAGAATTTATTAATCTTTATTGCCTACCGTCGATATATTAAATAGACATTTTGTAATTATCTTAATGACTTGTTATCTGCAAGCTTTAAGCTATAGCCCTGTTTAAAATGCACTTCAAAAATTTTTATAACAGCCCAGCATTGCTAGAAAATAATTTTTATTCAAAGTAGAGCGGTAAGTGAAAGTTGTGTGTAGCACGCACCAGATTTTTTTATTTTTTTTTTGGGGGGAGGAGAGGTTTCAGCCCGAAAGCTTTTTATACATATATAATAATTATTTTGAAAGGAAAAGAAAGAAATTAACTAACTGTACGACAATGTTTAAGTGATTCTTAAAGTCCTATTAAATGTAATTACACGAACAATAATACTTTTTTAGAGAGAAATTTTTTTTTTCATAAGATATGGTTATTTATTATAATTTTCGGGGGAAGGGGAGAGGTTTCAGTCCCCCGTAGATCCGTGATCACCTCAACTATTCTTCTCTTCGTTTTTGTTCATACTTGTTATTCTTAAGGAATCTTGCCCCAGAATAAAGTTTATTTTCTAACTATCTATCTACATTATTCTTGTGAAATCGTTTGTAATTAAATTATAAATAAAAAAGGAGGTGGTTGAGCGGAGCTTAGATGGTACAATCTATAAAGAGATTTTTTCACAGTATAAATATTGATTGGTAATTTAATAAAACATTTTCATCCATTAACTCTAATATAACTCTAAGCTGCCGGGTTCAATTCTAGTCCAATATAATTGGTCTCTAGGTGGCACTTCCATCATATCTTGAAGGGATGCCATCTCTTGTTTTGTACGTAGCACGTGGCATGGAAATGACATCAATCACAACAATGAATATTGATTGCGACTAAGGTCACCGTAGCCTCTGTTCTCTTGTGATAGTTCTCTTCTGCATAAACTTTACTATTCATAAGCTTTCCGAGATCTGCACTCGGGAGAATTGTAGGAAGATAAATATTTATGGATGAAAGAGTAATGAAGACTGAATACACCGTAAGTGAAAGTTTCACTAATGGAAATAATATTGTAAATAAATTAATAATGATTTTTTTAGGCAGTCAGAGAGGGTCGTTACTATGCAGATCCCTTTTTATCATATCATTGACATTCGCCTTAAACTTTGTAAATGTAATCTCATCGTAACGTACAACTATATTATTTATGAAAACTCTTGGAATTGGGACGGTTTCAATCCGGAGGGGGGCAAACTTTGTCTATTTAATTAGGTACTAAAAACTCGTAAATACTTAGCTGCTTTCTTCTTGGATCGTTAGATAATTTGAGCACAAAAACGAGAAAAAAGATGGCCTAGAAAAATATTGGACCGTTTGGCCTATACAACCTCGCTATTTTGACATTTTGGGGGTGTAGGTCACGCTAAACGGCTCAACATTTTTGAAGGCCACCTTTTTTCTAGATTCTGTGCTAAAATTATATAACGATCCAAGTCGAAAGCAAATGGGTATTTACGAGTTTTTAGTACATAATTAAATATAAAGTTTGCCGTCCTTCAGATTGATTCCTTCAAACGTCCCAATTCCAAGAGTTTTCGTAAATAAAATAGTTGCAGGTTACGATGAAATGAGACTAAGATATTTACGAAGTTTCAGGCGGATGTTAATAATTTGATGAAAAGGAGTCCGTACCACTTCAAGGCAGCAGAGTTTAGAAGACGACTCAATTCGAGTTTTTTTTTTTTTTTTTTGCTTTAACTCAAATTCGTTCAATGGAAGAAGTTAATATTATCTGATGATATTTATTTCTAAATACTGATATAAAATATTGACTTTGGGAAAGGCAGGAGGAGAAAGAACAATTGGCAAAACTATAACTGCTCCTCCAGACAAAAAATCTAGTTTCGATTCTTAATGTCCACCTAAAAAATGACGGATAGTAAAAAATAACAACATAAACAAAAATATATTGCAATCATTAGCCATAAAGCAAATTTAATGTTAATTATAATATTTTAAGACCACTTCAATTAACCTAATGTTTTTTTTCTTTAATACTGTATTTTTTTCGCTGTTAAATTCATAGTAACAGTGACAAATGAAAACAGTAGATTTCTTACGTTCCCAGTACGAATTAAACATAAGAGTTAAAATATTATTGATGAACTAGAGGGCTGATACTGATTATTTTTTAATAGATTTTATAGTTCAATGCTAATTTAATAATCAAGAATCCATGCTAGCTATTTTTTATAAATTTACTAGTTTTTTTTTTACATACTAGAATGACCCCTCGAGGTATTTTGGTATCAGGAAAGAGACTACCCAAATAGGAATTATAGAAGCTTGCTTATTTTGAGTATAAATATTCCCACTACTATGAAATTTTATTGTTACCATCTTAAAAACTGTGTTAACCAAATCAGTTAACTAAAAAGTAATGTATATACAATTAAATTAGTTGTGGTGTGATTATCGTTTTCTACCTAGTTTAGGTTTGAAAGTTGATTAAAAAAACCGGTCCCCTCCAAAAATTAATAACACAGTAAAAATGTACTCTCTTCAAGATTTCTTTTTCTAATTTATTTATTGAGTATTACAACGATCTGTCACATGGAAATTAGTTATAGTGAGGTGGGATAACATTCACACTATATGTACAAAAATATAAAATAAATAGAAGCAAAATAACAATAAATAATAATCAAATGTATATACAATAAATAAAATAAAATAACCTAAAAAAAGATAATTAAAACTAAGCAAAAAAATACATGCATACACACTCTTCCAGATTAAAATAAATTCTAACTAAATTAGAATCAGGTGCTAAATATTCTGAACTATCTATTCGCTTTCCACTTGAATCGTAATATAATGTGATTACAAAATCGAGAAAAAAAAAAGTGATATACAATAATATTGGGCCCTTTGGTCTACATAACCTCGATATATTGACATTGGTGTGACAAGTGACACCAAATTTTATAATTAATCGATTTTGTAATTAAATCATCTTACGAGTCAAGTGAAAACGAAAAGAATGTTCATGAGTTTTTAGTACCTCAATAAATTGACGAATACTAACAATCTTGAGATTGAAAATACATTATTTTCGAAAATTTCCCAAATGAAGACATTCATCATGATTAAGACGGATGTTAATAATTTGATAAAAAGCAGTCTGTACCATCAATTAGCAGACTAGTCTCCTACAAATATAACGAGCTATATCGCATTATTAAATATTAAATCGACACTGTCGTGACCACCCCGAAGACGTCGCTGACAGCTGGCATGAGAAGAAGAGGGTACAACGACCGTGCAGAATGGGCCCGCGACGACTATCGCCCGCGGTGATTGAAGGAAGGGATGCCAACACATCAGCTGCCAAGGCCGGCGGGATGACTGTGCCTTCGCGATCGGAATCGCTCGTGTAGTTATATCGATCCTCCTGGGGATCATTGCTTCCAAGGTCCGCGCTTCTCCGAGGAGGAAGCCAAGACTATTTTCGTAGTGAGCCGAGTACACTTCAGCTTAGCTTGGAAGAAGCAATAGAGGAAGGTAAACACCACTTCAGCCGAAGGAAAAACAGTAGCTAGCGAAACAATCAGTGAAAATTAGTAGGACTAGAGTTTAAAGTAAAAATAATATTAGGAAGTGAATTCTTTTGAACATTAGGAAGAGCTTTGTAACACCGTGATAGTCTATCAACTTTTCGCTTCACACACATCACACACACATATAGGGTTACTACAGTTGTAAAAATAAATAATTATTACTCTTAATGCTAGCGAAAAATATATCGACAGACACACTGCAAAACCCCTGTTACGACAATGTTTATGAAAAATGAGGTTTTGAACATTTCTGGTCTATCTTGTCCTGGCGCATATTCTAATCCCACAAAATGAAATCTACGAATTTTATTCCTTCTCTATGGCATTTTGTAAAAACATTTAATTTAAAAACCAACAAATTGTGATGTAAAAACTGTAAGTTACAATGAAGGATATAGAGATTGTGTCGTTACAAAAAAAACCTAATAAAATGTTCAACGAAAAATGGTCATGTACATATAAAATGTATACAGCGTTTCGCGCATAGACTAAATTATTTTTTCTCACACGCTTTGTATTCTTTTTTTTTTAATTTCTAACAAGTCGCGGGCACTTCTAGCCCGGCGCCTCCGGGCAAACGCCCGGGTTCCACTACTCTGAGATCGGCACTGATTACCACTGAACTAGGCGAAGCAAAAAAGAGAGTGGTAAGTGGAAATATAATATTAAACTGCCTTCAAAAGAATCGAAACCTCCTGGGCACTGCAAGATGAGCTTGACTGGAAAAAATCTACAAAGCCGCCGAATTCCGGATAATGAGAAACAGAGAACTAATTTCATTAATTGAAAAATCTAACAACAGAGGAAAAAAGAAGAATTGTTTCTCTACATTTTGGAAACTGACTTTGTTCCTGTCATGATCATTATTGACAAAGTTAAGGTGCTATTATAATACATTTGATTGCTTTTACCTAATACCTGTTTTTAAAAGTAACTAAACATTTTAAAAGTCCGAAGTAATGGCTCTAAAATATCATTTGGCATAAATACGAGCAAAAATGTTATGTAGAGCATTATGTCATAGTCTTAGACCTACAAAAAAAAAAAAAAAAAAAAAATTGAATTGAAAATATAATGGTCATAGAACAAAATTACGCAGTTCTTTTGTATCCTAAAAAATTCTAGTTTTTGTTCTTACAGGCGTATGCTGTGTGGCTGTCGATATACTGTTAAACACTTTAAATAAATCAATGTCTTTCCTTCAATAGATCTTCGTTTGGATATTTGATTAATACCAAAAATATCGCTCCTGTACAGAAGCAATGACTTCCGAATTATCCTTCAGATGAGGTGTGAGGTAGATTCCAACTGGATTCAAATGGGAGATTTCAACCGGAATGAGGAACCGTCATTAGCAGTACCAAGCTGATTGGAGAGCGTTTCAAACAAAAGTAAGAGAAATCATTGAAGGTATATCTTACAGAGGGGAGCGAAGAGGCCAAGCAGGCTAACGCGTGTTTAAATTATCAGAGATTACCAAATGCTACTCTGAGTACCAAGTACTAAGTATTTTACTCTAATTGAATCACTATTTAAAATTCAATCACAACATTAGTTAATCGTTTGACATCAACTGAAGTAGTAATTAAATTCTTTAGTACTCAAAAAAGGCCAGTATCTCTGTAAAATAGGCGTTGGGTGGCAACCAGATAAACCGTAGGTTACCAGTTTAAAACCCGGTATCGGAACTTTTAACTCTGGCATAATTCCCTCAACCTTATCCCTAGAAATCTATACAGCATAAAAGGCCATGAAGAGAAGAAAAAAAAAGGATATATCTAATGGCAATTTTAATGCAGAATTCTTCAAAATAGGGAAACCCCCATGATCAGTTTATGTTTTAGTCGAACAGTTTTAAGACTTTAAGTTGAAGGTATTGCCAATGACCCTGCAGGGTGGGGTCGACATACAATGGATGTGTGTCATACCAAATCGTATCCGTGGAAGCAAATTCACTAGACTAAGTTCTTAATAAATGTAAATTAATTTTGTGAAAACGTGGTATTTTGGTAAATGAAAAAAAAAAAAAAGTGCACTGAAACGTTAGTTGTTTTGACAAGTTCCTTGAAAATGTCCGCAATGAATAACAAAGTTTTTTTAAAGATTATTTTCAGTTTTACGGCCTATAATTAAAATATGGTTTATGAATTTATTTATCAAATAATATAACGGTTATTATTATCGGTAATATCATTGTATTTTATTGTGTTGCTGTCACCCATTTACCATATTTTTTACTGAAACGAAGTAAAATAAATAAAAAATCTTATGTTTTGTACTTTTCCCAGTGATTAAAATCGTTCTTAGAGATGGTTCTTCCCACCATCCCATAAATTAATAAATTTAATCATGTCACATATATCATATATTAATATAAAGAAGGATAGTGCGTTTTAACTTGAAATCATATAGTAAAATAAAATTTAAGTCCTTTCAATATTTAAGTACTTAATATTATACACAAAAAAATAAAAGTCTCTGAAATTTGAATCAGTGTTTTTTATACGTTGTGAAGTTCTAAACTATAAAATATCTTATTTTAATCCTCATAGTAAATGGATTAAAACTTTACAACACTAATCATAAATACTTACTTAGCAACGAATAGCATCTTACGCATTCTTAACTCATATTTTATCTTGCATGTATGTTTATAGGATATTTAAGCTGTTAAGTCTACCCAATAATATTTTTAACAACGTTCGTTCTCTTCAAAATAATGACGTAAAAGCATAATTGATCTTTTCGAGTTAAAATTATTAGATACTACTAAGATAAAAAAAAATTAATAAATAGTTTTTATAAATCATACAGGTTAACTATAATAAATAAATAAGAAAGATACTTCTAAATTATTTATTCATGGAATTCCATTGTACTTAATTTCAAATTCATGCATTTTATAATTAACACATTAAGCCAAATTTTACAACTAAATTTAGAGTACAAATAGATTTCAATTTTATGAAAATTTTCATTCATAAATGATAATTAAGAAATGGAGTATGGGAGAAACTGAGGAGATACTTTAAGTTAAAATTAACTTACGAAAATATATTTAAATTATCAACTATAAATTCTTATTATTCATAATTTTATTGTTGTATATATTATAATTGTTATTTTTTTCTCCATTTTAAAAGTTTAAAATTCCTTCAATGACAGAATAAGAACATCGATCGAATAGACTGCGTAGTTAGCTGACCGCTGAGTCCTAGAAACAACTGTGTTTCAGGATTAGTTTATACATCTACTATTATGCTGTACAAATGTTTAATTATAGTTTATGTTTATTTTTGTTTTAAACAGTATATAAATTTATTGTGTACAAGGTCTGATTTATGTTATTTTTATAATTAAGGAATTTTAATATCATAGTGATTAATCGAAAAAGATTAAATGAATTACATCACACTTTTAGCATCGTTCAAACAAAACGTATTTTCAAATAGTTTTTTTCAGTGATTGAATTTGGTACAGAAATAAACAAATATATGTCGTTTTATGATTAGCAAAAAAATGGTATGATATATAATTTTATTATTTGTTGTGAGGGGGCTGCACTCACAGTAAAATACACCAGAACATTTTTTTTTTCTTTGTGCTGATGTTTCAACCGAAGTTTTAGACCTTAATCAAGGCTACGCAAAGATAAGATGACCACGTCATGATGATAATAATATTATAATAAGAAAGATAAAGAAAATACATAGATAAGAAAATAAATAAAATACAGATGTTATTTTATTTCTAATAAGTTTTCTAATATTTGTATTATCATATTACTACTATCATGTGTTATCCTATCCTAATATATTGTACAATAAATATATCCAACAGTAACTTTAATCAAAGACTGACGTACAACATGAATCCTCTGACAGAAATCGTTCTACGTACAAGAAACCCGTACAGCCCACCATGACGATTACGTTGGCGTTGGCCTGACGACTACGTAAGAGACCAGCTGATCTGATTTATATCCCGGATGTGATGGGAAACTGTAAATCTACCAAAAAATTTACCCATAGCAAAGAAATTTGCAGATTGCAATAATAATCTTTAGTCTTTTAGTCTTTTAAATCCCCGCCCACACCTCTTGGCCCGGGAAGGCCAAGTGTCAATAAATAAATAACCAGATAATATATTGTCTTCGTTTGGCAATGGTGACGTCCTGAAATTTACGCCAAAACGTCGGCACAAAGAAAATTGTTAATGAGTATATCATTGTCCGCAACTCAAAACAATTTGCGTTTTTTTAATCAAAAATACGTGAAAAAGGGTTGTGTAAGGGGACAATAGCTGACGTCATAAAAGAGGACAACATTCGGCTGTTTTCGGGATTCTATAAACAAGTGTGATCAAAGTGATTGTGAACCAGTCGTGATCCGTGCGGAACTCTTGTGAACTAGTACCATTTCTCCTACTAAAACTTTTTACAGTCAACCATTTTTTCACAATTTACTAGCTTAGTTTAATAGCAGCACAGCAGGTAAACCACTGAATTCCAAAATTCTTAGTCCAAGTTGTGTCATATTTTTTTTTTTTTTTTCACTAATCCTAAGGGAGATACTTATTTTGCGAGAATGAATTTTTGTTACAGTATTTATTCTCCCCAAAACAATTCTTCTCCATTACGTCATGACGTTTCGGGATCTACTTTTATATACCATCTTCAGAATAAAAATATTAATATTATCGTTATTTATAATATAATTCTCGATGTAATGGAGAAAAATTGTTTTTGGGAGAATAAATACTGTAACAAAAATTCTTACTTATATTAATTTTTTTATTTTTAGTCTTGGCTTGATTTCGTGACCGGGAGACAATCTTGGAATTCGA